TCAACGCACCAAACTCAGACCAAATTGTCAATCTAGGCAGTGCTGATTAACCAACATAGCGACGGCCATAATACCAAACTCAAGGCTTCAAAACGGCAGTCCATAAACCAACTGATGACATCACACTTGTATCGCTCTATTTAAGCTGCCACATGGAATAGAATATTGCTGCATTGATTTGCTTGATTCCACCTTCCTCTTTGTTGCCTTCAAATCCTGCTCTCTTATTGAACTGAACTCTAGCGTACAGTACATATTTGAAATACCTCAATGATGCCACCAATTCTCTTACACTATCTGCATATGTTCACCCATCATAGCTGTTTACTCATACATTAGTGGATCATCTTATCAGAGAACAGTCAAGTCAAACACTTTCCAGCCTTAGAGTAAACAAGGCTTCAAACTCTGGAAATGACTAGCCACAGAGTGAAGCAAGGAATAGACATTGGTACATCAGTGGTGTGACATCAGTGGTGTGACATTAATAACTAATAATTAATAATAACTAATCACTGACATTTTGTTTTTTAAAATGCCATTGTATGCCATCAAAACTACAGTAAGATGATAAGGTTGAGTTTTTGGGTCCAGGATATGTTTAGCCTAGCTGAGCAGAAAGAATACTTCCATAATCTAGGAGAAAACTGCTAGCTTCAGTCAAAAAGTGAAAAATACAATTCTTAACTCCAAAGCTGTTTTATTTGCATCACAGCCTCAGAAAAGTCTCACAGTGCTATGCCTTCACAAAGAAAACTGGCCACTTTGAAAGGTAAGCAAATTAGCTTTTTTATTAATGAAATCTACAAAACAGCATATTCTGCAATATATATGCAACCTTGTGTTGCCTTGATTGTTATAGAATATTCTTCATTCTTATTCTTGGATCCCCATTAGCTGCTAGGATCCGCACACAACTAAAGACACTTACAAACAAGACACATAACACAAAAAGTCTCAATGAGACCCTCTGTCTCTTATGGGAGATTGCTCAAGAACAGGGACATTATATTTGACAAAATCACCAGGTGGTTTCCTGTTATATTCCAGAGAACCAAGGAAGGTTCTAGATATGGACATCGGATGTTAACTTTGGAAGATTGATTACATTGTTTGTGCTTTTTACTTATGTAGTCAGACTGTATAAAATGAGATGTCTCTCTGCTGTTTCTTTTTGTTACATTCAATAAAAGTCAGTTTTCCATTAGATTTTGGGTCTGCTGCTAATTTCTTCTGCCGCCACTGTATCTAATCAGCTAACAAAGTAGTCATCACTCCATCCAAAAGTCTGCAGTATTTTCTTCAGAGTTATAACTGTGTTCAAATATGGCAACCTCACCATCAGGAAAATACTTTACAAATTCTAAGGGTGTCATAAACAGGTTTAACTCCAACTTCTCCTAAAACTACAGTCAATGGTCCATTTTTCGGAAGATCTTGCTTCTGCAGCTGATTTCTTCTGTTAAACTAGAATAAAAACGTGAAAAAACTGAGAAACTTTCAAGGGAACGCTATGAGATGCAAGACAGAATTAAGTCATACCATTGCCAGATTTGATAAAGTGAATATGCCAGTGGTCTGTTATCATTAAAGTTTAAAACAAGTGAATTTTGCCATTGTCTTTTACTAGAT